CTTTTGAAGAACAGCTAGCTGATTTGCAAGACACAAATTCGTCGCTTGTGAGGCAAAATCGCATGCTGGAGGGAAGATCCCGCGATATTGATCATTACAATGCCAGGTAAGCCAAAAGAGACCCAAGAGCAAGAGGAAGGAGGAAGTGGGAGGGGATTTCACAGAAAAAAGCACTTTTTGATAAAAACTGTGGTTGTTTTTCTTGTTTATCTTTATTTATTAAAATCCTGTGTACTTTATCTGTTGATGTTATGCTCTTCGACTTCTTTTCCACTTCATCCTTGCCCTCCATCTTTCTGTCCGTTTATTTTGGCGCACTGAAAGCACGGAAAGGGCAATTCCGCTGGGCCGTTACTGATCCACTATTTTCAGTTTCGAAGCTTCATCAGGCCATTACAAACGTGATTTACGGAAGGCTTTAGCCCTTTTGCGTGATACGCAGCGGGTTTTGTTACGTGAACGTGAGAACTCTTCGAACCAGTCGATAATTTCTCAATTGCAAGAGCAGTTAATGGATGCAGAAGCAGCAAAACTGAGTGCTCTCAGAGGTCGTCATTCTCTTGAAAGCGAACTTGCTGAAATCAAAGCCCAAGTAAGAGAATTCTTGGCCGCGTTTAGAGCAAGCTCATTGCGTTCCTTCTTTGACCTTACCAGTTCTTACTTTCAATGTTATTCATAATTCATTACAGCTGGAAGCGGCTCTGACAGCGAAAAATGCCGCTGAGGATAAGGCATTGGTTCTTTTCAAGGAGAAAAGCAGTGCACTAGCTTTGGTTGAAGAACAAGACGAGCAGATGCAGAATCTTCTCAAAAAATATAAAGGCGCTGTGCAGCAGAGTGCCGTTGATTCGATAAAAATCGCGGACCAGTTCGAGCAGGTTTCGACGTTACACGCTGCTTCCACTTCATGTTCGGACCATTTGGTCACTTCGCCCAGACAGTGTTCTTTTATTTGGCGAATGTTACTTCTGTTTGAAATTCTGGACTAATTACAGATGTCTGATATGGAGAAGGAGAAGGAGAAACTGCGCGAGCAGCTCAATGACGTGTCCAGTGCCCTGGAATATCATCAGCAGCACTCGGTGGAGAAGCACAAGTTGCAGCTTGCTGAACAACGAATACGTGATTTAGAAGCAAAGGTTGAACTAGAGGCCTCTCAGAAGCTCAGATTCGAGGTAATGATATCAGAAGTTCCCGTACAATGTGAACAGCTTCATCGAAAAGCTTTTTCATTGGGGAGATTAGACAGTAGCAGCAGCA